AAAGCTAATGCCGCTAATGTTAGTTCTACCAATGTTAATGCTAATACAAATAATGCTAGTTCTATTACTGTTAATGCTAGTTTTTTTTTTTTTTTCATTTAGCCTTTATTTATCCAGGTAGTCTCATTGAGCCACGAGAACTCATTTTCAAGAGAGACCTGTTTAGGAGCACATGGTGGGGTTAAGGGCCTTGCTCATGGGCCCAGAGTGGGGCGAATGAGGGTGGGGGCAAGTGTGGGTGTTTCACCTACCCCACCCACAATTTTGATGTTGTCGGGGCCGGGGTGAGAACCGGCGATCTTCGGATCACAAGCCCACCTCTCTAACCTCTGCGCCACCACTCCCCCAAATAGTTCGATTATAGTTAATGCTAATACTGCTAACGCTAGTTCTACCAGTGTTAATGCTAATACTGCTAATGCTAATTATACCAAATGTTAATACTGCTAATGTTAGTTCTACCAATGTTAATGCTAATACAAATAATGCTAGTTCTATTACTGTTAATGCTAGTTCGATTACAGTTAATGCTAATATTGCTAATGCTACTTATATTGAGAAAAATGCTAATACTGCTAATGCTAGTTCCACCAATGTTAATGCTAATACTGCTAATGACAGGCAGGTTGGAGGATTGAAGAGAATTTATTCATGTTGATTTTTATTTTGTTACTTTACAGATCAGTTAAAATTAAACTTACCCTGCTCTGTTCAGCAAAATACGCTACATTTTATTGCTCCCTGCTTCATCTGTGCTTAACGTGAAACTTAAAGTGAATGGCCATGACTTGAAAATAGTCCGCTTGCAAACTCTGCTGGATACATTGTACAATTATGTCTTGTTGTAAGTGAGGACACGGCTCATTCCCAGTGTTTACATCAGCGAATAATGAGAATGATCTCAGCTACATCTCCAAACGCCTATATCAAGCTAAAATATCGGCCATACCGATATATCGGTTGGGCTCTCCCAAGAAGTCACATTTGTTTAATTTATTTTAGATTTTTTACTATTTGGCATCCACAAAAAAAACCTCCAAAATCTCTCGACACAATTAACTTGTAAGTGACACCAACTGGAATATACATCCACGTTTGGACTGCTGAAGTAAAGAAATGCACTTTACCATTTTGTTGATATCCTCAGAGAATGTGCTGTCGCCACTGTTTGAGGATTCAGGATCAGAGTCGTCTCCCTCACTGCTCCCTGAAGTCGAAATCAAACCTAAAAACAGGAAGAAGAAAAAAATATATATATACTTTAAGTGACTGCTGAGGGAGGCTGGGAGCTGCAGGTTAGGACACAGAATGATTTCTCACAGTAGGCCTGTCGCGATAATCAATTAATCACGATAAATTAAAATTATCGAACTTTTCATTTATCAGCTTTACCGTTTCTTCGTGTCTCTCTTTCTACTGAAGACACTGGATGACAAAAGGCTCAACTCCGGTGCTCTTCACTGACCCCTCCCTTTTTCTTTTCTCTTTAAAATCTATTTTAACCGTCCAAAATCGCGTTCTTGGATCGTTAAAAGCAGCTAAGCTGAGAAGCTAAGCTACAAGCTAAGCTAACAGGCCGACCTCAGGGAAAAAAACATCTTGTTGAAGCTCCAAAATTCACGATTGAAACCCGTGCCTTTGTGTAAAAAGTTGTTTTTTTTCCTGCAAAAATAAGCTGAGAACTTGTTTACTGATTTTTTTATTAAAAGCTTTGTGTGACAAATGCTATGCTAAAGAGCTCAAACCACACCGAGCGTCAGCCATTTTGAGAACCAAAAAACAGGAAGGAGAGACAGCCCATGTCACGTCAAGGGGCCTCCCTCCCATTTTTCTTAAAGAGACACGCTGCTCGCTTCATCACTATCTATCCTTCAGTTCAAACACTTATACTGCCATCCGGTGGTCGAAAAATGGTACTACACTCAAAACAAATTCACCAAAATTTCTTCTTCAATTTGACAATAATTGCTAGTAATTGTCCAATTTCAAACAATATTATTGTTTATCGCAATAATTTCTGAGACAATTAATCGCCCACCAAAATTTGTTATCGTGACAGGTAAACTCACACGCGTCATCGCTGTCGTCCTCTTTGGGAAGAGTCTTCAGAGAGGATTTAGAATCGGACTGACGGCGACGCCTCTTCGTCCATCCCTTCTTCTTCCTATCACAACAGAAAGAAAGCACTATTAGGACAAAGTGAAAGGTCACATCCAAAACTTACCGACAGCAAAACGGTGTTTGATTAACAGAAGATAAATTGTTGAAGCTAACGAAAAGATTCTGCACTCGATCTTAATTTATGTACAACGCCCAGAACTTTCTTTATGAACACTAAAAAAACCTGGACTTACATGCGACCCAGCGCTTTGCGAGCCAGTTTACGTTGCAATGTTCGGTTTTCCTCCGAGTCCCTTAGGACATGATCCTCTGCAGCCCAGCGATCCCAGCTACACAAACATATACACAACAGCAACTTTAAGGTGCAAGTTCAGCAAAAGGACATTTTGGATGTGCAGTATCGAGGTTATTACCTTCTGCTCCAACCGTTGAAGTGAATCAGGTACTTTGGGACTCGCCTTCCATGTTCATCCGTACCGATCAAGACATCAAGGACCTGCAAGGCGATGATAATAGTAAGCGCACTATTGTCAGATTTAGTCCACAAATGTCAGTCCCCATATCAGGGACTTCACTGGGTCTTACTTTTTAAAGTTAAATGTTTCTAAGACAAAGGAGATGGTCATTGATTTTAGAATAGACACTTCAGTTGCAGCTTCTGAGGTGGTGCATCAATTTAAATATCTGGGAACTGTTCTTGATGAGAAACTGACCTTTGACCCCCATGCGAACTCACTAAAGGTACTTAAGTAAACATTAAAATCAAACCTAAGTCAACTTGCAGACATTTTCAGGACAGTCAATGCTAGCTAGCAAACATTAGCAAAGGCTAGTTTGCGCACAACTGGTGTCTTTAAGTCTTTTTAAGTCTTTAAGTTGGCCACACAACTTCAGGAAACACTGCAACCATCAAAACTATAAATCATACTCAAGTACAATGTGTTGCATTTAGATATAAACGTGTTTTAATTAGCAAACAAAACCAAAGCAGAGTTAGCAATGCTAGCACTGAAGTGGTGGAAACCATAAGCTCACAAAACAAGCAAAAGTTAGTGTCTTTAAGTTTGCAAAACATCTTTAGTAAACAATGTACATATAATAACTATAATCAAACTTATGCACATTGTGTTTTATCTGAATATAAATGGAATGTTTTTGTTAGCATTAGCAACGCTAGCACTCAAAATACAATAAAATGACCCACAACTAATGTACTCGACGTTTTTTAAATGCATTAGATATGGTTTTAGGAGCAACAAATAGTTTCTAAAGCAAGTCACATCTCTGCAGAATTTAAATGTTTGTTTTTTAACTCGTCCTTCAACCACAAATGTAATCCGACGTACCCGGAAACACCATCAAAACAAACAGCTAGCGTTGAATCAGATCAGCTAAACCTTATTTATTATGTGGCCTAGGTAGGCTTCATGTCCAGCCATGAAAACGACCAGCTATTTTAGTTAAAATGACGCCTATATATATAAAGTTTACACATCGAAACGCCACATTAGGTCGGTTGAAACGTTACCTTAGCGTCATACAAGACTTTAGCCTTGGTGGGGTCTGGTTCAAAGCACAGGACTCGTTCTCCTTTGTGAAACCGATATTTAATTCCCCGCGAATTCATTTGTTCATGGCGACGAGTGGAAGAAGAAACATCGATCGAAATCCCTCAAAACTCCTTATCCTTAACCCTTTGCTTTCCTGCGAGAGAGAGGGGGAGTCTTTCCAGCAAAGCGTGGAAAGATGGCGCTGTTCCGGAAGAGAGGCGAGTGCTGATGCGTTCAAAGAATGCTCGGAATTTTTCAATTTGCATTATGAGGATACGGGCAATTTTTCTTAGAGGGTAAAAATTGCGCATGCGTTATTAATTTTTATTATTAAAACTTAAAAAAATAAACTGTTTAATCATAACGTTCATAGCTTTAGATCAAATACATGGCTTTAGTCTATGAACAATTACAACTTTAAAACGTGTACCACAAGATCTTTAAGGCAGCAAAAATCCAGCAATTTGATTGGACATCTTTATTTTGAATAGGGTGACATCATAACTTTGCCACGAGGTGGCGGTATTAAAACAGATCTTTGCTCTGACGGTTCTATTTAACAACTAGAGACTTGAAAAGTATGCATAAACTACATATATTACTATATTTTAAATTATTTTGTTTCACTTATACATCTGTTTTTACAAATGCAAATTTTAATAAAAAAAAGGGGCCATGTGTGTTCAGTTATAGATCAATAACACAATAAGAATCTCTAACTGAATCCGTTCCAAGCATCCTGTATATGCAAATCTAAAAACCTGGAAGTCAACCATAGCTCAGACGCAAAACATCTTGTTTTGGTATTTGCGACTCTGGGAAAAAAGAAAAAAAAAAACGCTTTCCTTGAGGCAAAATAGAGCGAGAGTATTCACAAAAGCTCAACAATCTAATCTTCCTCTATTGGAACAATATGTCGACTCTTGAGTAAATAGTTCAGCGTGGGGTACTACGAGGAGAATGTGAAGTTCTCAGGCAGACATGTAAACGTTTAAATACATCGCCTGCCGTCAAATGTCCCATAGACCAGAGAATGGACTTTAAAGATTTTTTTTTTTAATTAATTTACCCTAAATAGATTTAAATATATCATAGTATAAGGACAAGACAAATGTTGTTAATGTGATCATCAATGTCAAACTATCGATGTGGGCTTTAATCGATTTGGTGTCTACTGTTCTCAGACTTTATAACATGTATTTTTTTAGCCTCTATCCATCTGAGAGGATGATCCACTGCAGAAAACCACAAAGCAGAATAATTTTTGCGTTAAAAGCTTCCAGGCAAAGCTGCTCTGCTATTGTTCACCAAATATGGACAGTGTGAATTTAACAGTGAACACGACTGGATGAATTGTTGGCCTCTTGATTTACTTCTACTCCCTCGTTTGACCCTGAGTGCGTCTTAATACCGCAACTCTCCTTTCCAATGGCAACAACAAAGTACAATATAGTATATACTCTCTTTGCAGCCCCCACCACACCTTCGTACTGTTTTTAGACGGGTCAGATCTATCCCTGTCGTTATCAGCGCCCTGTCATGTCGTGTTGTTTGTGTTGCAGCGCAGCTTCGTGAACTCCTTTATCAGGCGGCCTCCTCGCTGGGCGCTTTTCATTTTCCCCCCTCATGCTTTCACACACATGCCTCTGCTCCGTCGGTCTCTGCTTAACGTGCTAACGCTGAACTGCACAAACATCTGTCTGGCAATTATGCACAGGTGCATTAAGAGGTATTAATCTCGAGGCTTGGTGATTGTCTGGCTAATAATAGCACGCTGACATGCCTAATATTTCCAGACGGATGGATTAATGGCAGAGGAGGATTATTATGTCTATTTTCATCCAGGCTAAATCGTGTCTGTGCTTGACCTACCTTCTGATTATTGCATCTATCTACACAAGCCTATTGTGCTTACACATTATGAAACTTTGCAAATAATGTAGAAATCTATGGTCGTTCCAGAGGAGAAAAAACTTCTAGATTGGGGATTTTGGATGAGAATCTGGATGTTCTGGACTCAAACGTTAGTTCAAACGGATACAAAGCTAAAGAAGTTGTGGGGAAATAACGTCTAAACTGGCCATTGAGCAAAACTGCTGCTGTCTGAACTCCACCCAACATCCCCCCCACCCCCTACTCCACTCCATCGCACCCCTCATCACTCACTCACTCGCCTTCTTGCTCTCATCCAGTATGGATCAACGCACAGACGTTCAGGGGAGAGCAAAGACAGGCTTGATCTGTCTTCACTTTATGGAGAAATTCTAGCCAGATGCTGCTTTTCCCAGCTCTCCATGGACTTTTACCTCCTTTTTTCCTGAACTCAAACTTCTTTTTTTTGTTGTTTTTGGTGTTGAACTGATCTAAATTAAGGAGACATGTCAACCGCGCAAGGACTCCTCAACAGCGTCTTCTCCTGCTCATCTCCTGCCTCCAAAGCCATAGCCAAGCGGAGGCTACGCCAGACCCGCAGCTTGGACCCTGCTATCATAAGTCACTGTGACACCGGGACCGATGGAGCAAGCGGAGTTCAGTTCTCTGCGGTAGACGCAGGTGCACCTTTGGAGCACCTCAGGGCCAAATCTTTACACACCAAGATCCCAACTCTGAGAGAACCCATCGCACCCTCAGTGTCTTCTCCTTCCATACCTTCAGATGTCTCCCCGTCCTCCAATTTCCAGTTCGACTATGATCTCGTGAAGCGTCCTAAAAGGAATACCGCCGGGGATTTACCGTTCATGGTGAGGGGACCCGGGGTTGCAACATCTGGAAGCACCGGCACGCTCTTCTCCCCACGGAGGTGGCTACAGAAGAAAGTGCAGCAGACCTGCCCTCATGCGTACATTGTGTGGAAATCAGAGGTAAACTTCTCAGTGAGGTGCACTACCATGTTTTACTCTAAGAACGTGAACAGACAAATGGGGATCCTCGTTCCAAACGACCTTTGACGCAAGAAACACTTGAGGAATTAGGGCAGCTTTAGTTCAGCTCTTCCACGTTTCAGTCCTGCTTGTTTTGATTAGGAGTCCGGCTTTCCAAAGTAAGAAGGAAATCTTTCAGGCGCTTTTAGAGATTAAATAACTCCAACAAAAGGTGCACTCAAGTGCAGATAGTTTTCCACCCCTGCTGCTGCCATCGTTAGCTTGGCTGGGCTTTTGTCTTCATGAAAAACGTCAAACTGAGTGTGAATGAGAAGCAGGCAGGTATGAAACCCTAACCAAAACATACTTGGTTGACTTATTTCAAGTGGGGTAAGAAGTGGTGGTGGTGGTGGGGGGTGCCTTGTAAGCTGCATACTTGGCACAAGTCCACATGCACTGGTGGAAAGTATGATAATTTTACTGATTCTTTAGAAGACGCTGCCTCTTTCCTTAAGTTTTGTTGTTTTTTGTCCTTAGCGTTACGGGGTGTGCGGGTGTACGTGCTGAGGCCCCTGTGCGTTCTGGAGTGAAGATCTTAGAATCAGTTCTCACGACTGGAAGAGGTCAAAAGGTCAAATGCACAAGTCATCGAAGAGACATCTAATTTTAAAAATATAGCAGCTTTGTTTGCGGTTTTCTTGCAGGGTGCCATGCTCGTCGTTTTCTTAAACGCACGCAACCGCACGTTCCCTTCCACTATTACCACTCGGTTTTCACTCCTCGGCACTTCCCACAGCTGTAGCTTTATTTTCCATGTTGTTTCCCCCATGATAAGGCTAGCGTGAGATCATCAGTGTGGAGTCATTAGTACAATCTGGACTGTGAAGTTATTGCACCTCAGAGGGTTTGTAAAGAAACAGAGCCAAGACATGTCATTGGTGTGCTGGGATGTCTCACTCTGTTGGGTGGGATGTAAAACACTGAAATGAAGGACTAACAATAAAAAAGTCTGCTAAAGAACTGCCAGATAACAAAACATTTTTTTAAAGTACATGCAAATCCACTTATTTAGGAGAAGGACCATCCTCCCCACTTTTCAGGGTTGAAATATGCTTTCCAGCATTGTTTTTAGGAAGAACTTTGGTCCAAATCATTGAGTGACAGCAAAGGTATTTAGTGGTCAAGCCATCAAATCACATTCACTTAATATTGCAACTTTAAATTATCTTTTCTTATTTTCTTTATGCCCAATTTCCAAACTCTTACAAATTTAACCAGAGTACTGCATACAGCACAAACTATTAAACAACAATCTATAGCAATGACCCAGATGAGCAAAGACCTTGTACAACATTTGATCTTGATTTGTGACCTTGACCTTGGAGCTGGGGTGTTTGAAAGTGCATGTGCATAAAGTTTTGTTAAATTATCTAGAACAGATCAGAAATTATGGTCGGACAAAAGAAAGTTGACATACGAACATAAACTATAATATCTACCTACCAACCTACCAACCACCCTTTTTGGATTGTGGAGGTCACTGGTGCTACAGTAAATTAAATTATAAATATGGGTGTGGCTGCCAAAGTTAGTGCAACTGGGCAACAAAACTGCCTAGAACACAGTTTTGAACATGGAAATGGCTATCTACATAGCAGTAGGTCGCCATTTTCAAAGATTTGCAGCAGGGCATGTGGCTACATAGCTTGCTGGTTGTACACACTCAAAATTAAGTACAATCATAACTGAAACTTGCCCATTTCTCTCAAACAGTTCAATTAAAAAAAAAAATCAATTCAAAAATACTTTATTAATCCCAAAGGGAAATTATTTGTAGTAATTACTCGTTATCCTCATTTCATTAAGAGATGTTATAGATGCTGATGGCTGTAGGAAGGAAGGATCTCTTGTAAAAGTCCATCCCACAGTGGATCCTAAGAAACTGGCTGCAGATGCCATCCGATCCGTCCACCCAGACTCAGCTGGCTTCTCGGTTCCCTCGGGCTGTAGGACCGCCCGAATGCCGAGCAGAACTCCTCCCAGAACGATGGCCACTCCTCCCAGCAGTCTGCAGAGCTCCTCGTTGTGTAGGTGCCGAGGGACGATCCTGTCCTTCCGCTGTCATGAGCCGTGTTTCCTGCTAGTTCCAGGTTCTCAGTGGTCAGGCACTCGAGCACAGCTGGCAGGTAGATGAGAATGCATCCACAGAACATCGTTTTCAACTCATTTGAGATTTGGGGCTGTAGTTGAGATATTATTTGAGCTTTTGAGATGTTAATCAGCTGCTGTTGGTTGTAGAAAACTGCCCTGTTGTCATGGTTACGCATCAAAACAAATGTCCAAAA